ATTTCTATCAGATAGTGACAGTAAATGTTTCTTTTATTTTGGCGAAAGGATTTCTAATATTTTGTTTGGATATTTTTTCTTATGCTGAATAAACATTTCCTTTTTATTTGCACCTATTCGCAGAGCTGGTTATCTACATAATTATAAAATATAATTATAAATATTTTGCTTTTCTTTGTTTACTCGTAATATGCCATAAATCCAAAAAAATATGACAGCGATCGAGCCAGCTTTGGAACTTCTTCAAATTAAGATAATGTAAGCTTTTTTCTATTACTCTTTTCCATTTATTTTAGATATGACTTTCGATTCAGAAATATTACCTTCAACGCAAACATCAGTAGAGTCTAAAGTTTCATTCATACACCAGCTGGAAGATCAAGAAGAGCAAAATGAAGTTTTTCAAAGCAATGATGAGCATAGTGATAATGATAATATTATGCGTAAGTTTGAAGGACATAGATCTGCACGAGATTTTGATAATAGGGAGAACTCAATGAAAATATATAACGTAAAATCGTTTTCACAAGGTAAGAATGTTATTTTTATTTTGTTTCTCGACTATATATACACACACACAATTTGTCTTTAATTATATACNATGTATTTTTGATCAGATTCTGACGATTCTTCGCGCAAGAAGGTAACAAAAAATGTCAGTAAGTACTAATGTTTTCATTGTCATGTTTATTATAAGATGAAGGTTGAATTGATTAAGTGATTATGGATATCATTTCAGAGAACATAGATATAACATCGGAAATTATTAACAATATCGAAGTTCAAGAAGAAATACGCATCAAGCTTGATCACTTAGAAGTCAAATTAGACCGTATCTTAAGGAAACTCTTTCCAGAGGAAGTCAAGTTGAAGCGACCACATGGAATCCCGGCATTTCCTCTACNTACAGAAGAAGAATGGGAAAATGTTGAAGTAATTCTTGCAAATGACGATGTATTTACATATGTGGTAAATATCTCAACAATCAATTAAATTTTTATTTGCTTAAAATTACATGTTTTTCCATTCGCATCTTCTGTTATTATATATTCTGATAAAATTAAAATTATATTTATAATGTTACTTTACTTGTGAAATTGTCATATAGATTCTGATAAAGTTAAAGGTATATTTATAATGTTACTTTACTTATGAAATTGTCATATAGATGGATGTCTTCGCAGCAAAAATTAAAAACCAGGAATCAAAAGTTGCTGCTGTGCAGTCTATACTTCCAAAAATAATTACAAATTCTCTCTCCAGATCTATTAGCTGGGGAGGCACTAAAAAAACTAAAATTGCTTTCAAAACAAGCAAAATATATGAAGCTATTCAAAGTGAGTAATTTATTTTAACATTGTTGCATTCAATTTACAAATAATAACTGAGATCTAAGGAAATTCANTTTTTGAAACAATTTATTAAATAATCTAATGTTTCTTTGCAGCCACTATTCTCCAAAAATTTGGTAAAGCAGCCAATCTAAAAAAACCCGAAGATTACGTGAAGCGTTGGTTTAGTACCAGTGCTCAACGAATAGTATAAATGCGGTTTTCTAATTTTATCTTTCAGAAGAATACAATGTTCTTTTCTTTTTTATCATTTTTTAGTTCCCTTTACATATTTAGTTCAGCAAATACTTTTTTAAATATTTGTCTTAAATTTAAAAAAATATCTGTGTGCAATTAAGTTGTTCCTTATATTTATCGTATTCATGAAAATCATATGCACTTGTGCATATGCACATTCTACTAAAAACATA